GCAGATGCATTACCGCCCCTGAGAACTAAGATAGAGTGCCTCGTTTTCAGTAAAAATGGTATTCGGTTCTTTACAGTGGGAGCGACTCATTCGTGCTACAACCATAATATAGCTACAGCATGGTGAAACTGACGAAATAGAATATGTCAAAATGGAAAATACCTATGTCAATTTATGACGATTTACCGCTTTTTGTCATCTTTATATTATATAATAATTACGTGTCACATTGTTTGTCCGCGATGAACTCCTAAAGTACTGAACTGATTTCAATGAAATTTTGCACACTGTGTGTAGTTTGGTCCAACTTGAGAGATAGGATAGTTTTTATCCCTATAAGTGACCCCTCAGTTTTTTATTGCTAATTGCAGAAGTTTTTAGAAAAGGGCAGAACAACGTCGCCTGGCCAGCTAGTATAGGTATGTATATAATTTTCGAGTAATAAAGGCGATATTGCAGTGTCTTCTTTTTTCTTCCTTAAACATCCCGTAAAAGTCAACTGCTAAACATAAGCCTGTCCCGATGTATAGAAGATTTAACATCATATAAATCAAATGAAATCAACATATGGATTGGCGATAGAAAAATCAGACGTCTCGCTCTTTAAACGCTCAACGTCTTCACCAGGCTGAGAAGATATTGAATCTTTTTGGTGTTTCTATAGTTGCCTGTTAAGCCGAGTCTCCACCAAAAATGTTGACAACAGTTATGTTTCCAACTGTTTACAACTGTTTTCAACAAGCGTCTCCACCGAGGGAACAAATGCTGCCAACAAGCGTATTCCTTTGATGTTGCCGCCGAAAATGGAAACAAGTTTTGTTGACAACTGTTGTGTTGGCAACAAAACTTTGGTGGAGACGCGGCTTTACGTCACTCCCGTAGTTGTTACTCCTACGCCGCTATCACACTGAATAAAATTATTTAAAATATTAGCTATTCCCCGCGACTTCGCCTGCGTAGAAATTATTACGGTTGGATTTCATGGATTTTAATTTTTTTTGCCCGGTACCCTAATTCTTTTTTCAAAATAAAAGTAGCCTTAGTTACTCCTTATAACATCAGCTAATCTGCCAGTGAAAGTCCTGTAAAAATCAGTCCAGGAATTTCGAAGATTACCCGGAAGAAACAGATAGACAGTGACAGAAATACAGACAGACAAACAAAAAATTTAAAAATTGATTTTTTGTTATAAGTATCGTATATACTTTCATATAATAATAATAATAATAATAATAATAATCATTTATTTAATTAAAAGTACAATAATAAAGTGAAGACTCTGATCCCCAAACTAGACAAGTCTGTATCTTAGGGATCAGCGGCCTCTCCCAGTGGTGTGACAACAGTATTTTAAGAATTATATATATCTTAAGAATTAATTAAGTAACTAAGCTTAACATTTTTAAGTAACTGTTTAGCTATTTGAATGTATTTATTTACAACGAAACATAAACTAGAACTTAATGCGACTCTTTAGTCGTTATTATATTTTATATAATCGTAGGTATATTAAAATTAGTTTGCAATTTGTAATATATATACATACACATACTCATAGACATACATATATACATACATACATATATACATATACATACACACACATATATGTATATATAGAATATATTATTATATAATTTCATTATTATATAGACATACATATATATATATATATATATATATATATATATATATATACATACATATATACATATCCACACATATATGTATATATAGAATATATTATTATATAATTTCATACAGAATATATATTTTATTCATTATAACCTATAATGAATAAATATATGCTTTAAACAAAGATTGCTATTTTTAATTTCATAATTTTAAAATTTTATAATTTTATTATACTTTTATTATACGACATACATTACTTACACACATTTTTACAAATTATATTTTCTGTTTTACTATAATCAAGGGACAATAACCAATCTCGAACTTTAACTTTACATTCATGTCTGGAAAGAGGATAAAAATTTAGATTTCTATTTAACTTATTATAAAGCACTGAGGATAGATATGAACTTTGTCGCCTAGAAAAAGCAGTTGGACATCTGCCAATAACCAGTACATCCGGTATTCTGCGTTTATTACGACAGATCTCAGGGTCATAAGGAGTTAGAGCATGTTTCATTAAGATCAACTGTTGGATGTACAATTGCCTGACAGTCAACAGTTTGCATTCTTGGTAAAGCAGATTTGTAGGATACCTGAACGGTTTAAAAGTCATAGTTTTTAGGAGACATCTTTGAGCTCTTTCTAATTTTATCATAAATGTTTTGCATGCTCCACCCCAGGCAACTATACAATAACCTATAATTGATTGTGCTAAGGCGTAGTATACAGTTCTTAATAAATTAAAGTCAGCGATGTGCCTTAGCCTTTTAAATGTCCAGATAAGTATCCTAGTGCGCGATGAAATAAGGTCTATGTGTGGGAGCCAGCTTAGTTTCTCGTCTATAATTATATATATGCATTCAATGAAAAGCTGTTATTACAAACAGACACATTAGTTTTATTTATTTGTATAGATATAGATTACATTTATGAGTTTTATTCCTAGCTCCACAGTAGAACCAGAGTACAGACATATTCCGATTTCAACGGAGGTGCAAATAGACCGGCCATATAGCTCAAAGAACCGACAACCGATGGCTAAGAAAGGTTTTTGAGCAGCAGATTCATACCGGTAAGCGTCGGGCGACCATCTAATAGATGGAGTGGCGACCTGGTACGAAATGCAGGAATTCGATAAATTCAGGTGGCTCAGGACCGTGCTTTATGACGTTCCTTGAAGTTTAGCAGTAAATTTGTGAATGGTGTAGTTTCTACAATTTTTTAAGACAGTATTTTTCTATTGCATTGCACTACGGTTTTATTACTGACTATCTCTTCCCCGCCACTTCGCCCGAGTATTATAAGGGGTTTTGATTTTTTTTGCGCGGAACCCTAATTCTTTTTCTAAAATAAAATTAGCCTAAGTTACTCCTTATGACATCAGCTATCTACCAGTGAAAGTTCCATCAAAATCGGTCCAGCCAGGACACTAGACAGGCAAAAATTTTAAAAATTGTATTTTTGTTACAAGTACCGTATATACTTTTATATGTATTTAGTAAAAAGCTGTAATTTTGACATTACAAACAGACACTTCAATTTTATTTATTTGTATAGATTGTATAGATACTTTGTAATAAATAAAAAGTATCTTCGGCATAATAATTTCCATTTCGATGGAATATTTCCAGTGAAATAAACACTAACGTTGCAAAAAACTAGGTAGGTACCTACCTATCTCGTATGTCGTAGATATCTTCCGCGCAAATAAATATTCGAACGACCGCAAAATCATTGTGTGTAAATATCATAATCATAATGCTCAGTAAGTATATAACCGTTTTCCTTGACATGTCGATGACCTCGCCGAAGCCTCATTTTGAGCCTAGTCATTATAAAATGCCATTAGTTCGTAGCATCCATAATTTCGGTCATACAAAAATAGGTATATATACCTACACAGTCATATGCAACTATAAATTTGCCCTTGACCACAAAGTATCAGTAGAATAATTTGAAATCGTTATAACTTTATGAATTTTGATGAGACACATAATACTAAACAACTAAACAAATTGTGATACGAGTTTAGAAGTTTGTGAATGCTTTTTTTTATTACTTTAATTAAGATTTTGACATTTTATAACCGTTAAAGTTTCAATTAAAACTTTACTACCTACATCTTCGTTAGTACTTAATGTCTAATTAGCAAATCAGAAAATTAAAATCGTGCGCTGAATTCTAAACTTGTTTTATAACTGTTTTTATTAGATCTTATTTGAATATTTATAATAAATAAATCCTACCATATTATATAAATACAATGTAGGTGTTGCTATCAGTTCTTAAGTTGCACATAAATTTTTATTTCGACACTTAAGACGAATAAAGATCATTTAAAGTATAAGATATATATTAAAAAATAATATTACATAACTGTATAACACAAACATGGTCAAGATATAAAAGGAATATTTGATAAAAGCAAATTAATCAAATATAATGAAATCGACTCGCCGAAATCAATGATAAGTAGTGTAAGATAAGCCGATGCCATTAATGCTTTCAATCTGTGATAACGATTTGTAACATTATTTAAAGCAAGTAATAATCATTAGAAATTACGAAATTCGCAGATGATGGGATAATTGAAATGAAATTTCTACGAAAAATTCTTCAGAATTATAAAACCATTAACCTATGCTAATAATTACTTTAAGATTAAAAACCGTTATAACGTAAATTATATGTTTGAATTCCGATAAAAATGTTCAACCTGGAAGTACCTAACAATAAATTATATCCGACAAGCTGATACTAATTCAAAACTGTATGACTAATTGTTTAAGAAATATTTACACGACAAAGACCAATTTAATGCAACAGCTGGGGTCAAAACAATCCTTTCTTTTTGAATCATACCTAAAAAACCATTTTAGATGTACTGATCGTATAGACTAATGTTACTACAACATTTATATTATGAACGTCTATCGCTTACTTCGTTTAATAGGTAAGTACTCAAAGGATAATCAAGGAACTGATATCAGACCCGATTTGTGTTCTATATAATATTTTCCTCATCATTTACTTTAAAGCGATTAAATGCGTAACTAATTTACATAAAAATTATAAGTACTTATCTAATATAATTATTTACAGATTAAGTTTTACCAAAAACTATGTTGAGATGAGCGTCCAACCCGTCCAACACTTAACACGGGTTAAAGAAATAAACATGAACAGAACTAGCAAGTTCCTAGTCCGAGAAGTCAATGAACTGCTTGACAAGAGAATATAGAAATAAATCAGACGGCTAACAAAACAATTCCTTAACTGAACGAACATCATAAGGACTGGACAAGTGACATTCCGAATGCATCCGATCGCATTACTATTCGCGAAGCATTTAACACACCGACCTTGAATATAGACTGGAATCTTCGTTCGCCAAACAGGTGATGAACGCCAATCCAGAGTGCCACATATATCGTAAGTTTCAACAGCACATGTCACTTACAATCCACAGGTAAAATTCGAAAGCTCGCGAGTTGCACGCGCGGACTAAGCGTACGTACGTCCGGCAATAACGACGCGCAGAGTAAGACTGAGGAGGACAGAGGTACTGAGGTCCTCTTGGTCGGAGGTCGGAGGCGATTGGAGGACGGAGTGAAACGGGATGCGGCAGCGAGATGCGCGCATCGTAGTCGGCTTCCGTTCAACGCTTTTGATAACATTCTGTGGTGGAAAACTTGAGATATTTGCGCTGTGCTTGCCTAAAATAATTAGTGCTAGAAACGAAACATTATTAAAAGTTTATAACTGAGTTGCGCGTTCACCCTTAAACAAAACAATGGTTAAATTGGATATGAAATGAAGTTTTATCAATGTTTTATACTTATATAAATAAATATATATTATATTGAATTTATTTATAACACATGGAGTACCTAGAAGTAGCAGTACTAATATTATTTTATCAGACAAATATAATTATGCAAAAAATAAAATAACATACGATTAAATGAAGCAATAATCCCGCAAAAACTTCCATAAAAATATTTCTTACTTCTACTATTTTATTAATATAATAAAGCACTTGTATTCGTGTAAGTATAACAAATCATTATCGTGTTACTAATTGTGGGAAAGTTTCTATTGGTATTTTTATCTGAATTCATTTTTAGTTTTTTTTTTTTTAGAATGGGATGACTGACGAAAGCACAGCCCACCTAATGGTAATGGTTGCTGTTACACATAAACGCCTAAGTACATCTAGGTATAGGATATTCCTCTTTACTAACAAGAAAGGTATCTGGTTGTCTTCATTCACTCTTCATAACTCTATGCTGTTATTTTAAGCTGGTACTCTGCGCGATTGCGCAGCGTGGCACTACCGCATTTTATCTTTAATTGTTTTTAATATCAAGATAAACACATTACAGTTAGTTAGCAGAACACTATTTGTGTTATATATAAAATTATATATAAAAAACTTTGAAAGTAGTCCCAATAAAACATTTCGATTTTAATTTGTCAATTCGCAGTTCAAAGCGGCCAATCAATAGCGCTTCGAGTTCTCTGTGGATTTCATCGTAATGAGATATTTTGTTACTCGAGACTGATAGAACAATCTACAACAAATTTATTTATTAAAAACTCTTCTTATCGTTCTTATAAAAATAGTCTTTTTTTATTAGAATATGGTTAACAGACAAGCACACAGGTCACCTGATGGTAAGTGGATGCTGTGGCTAGGCTTGCCAACTCCAAAAAAGGCGTTTCCGGGATTACCCAGCTCGACATCCGGGACATGGATATATTACGCGGGACACAACACACCACATACAAATTGGTTAGAAAAACATTTTTATAATGTGTAACAATTTAGTGTAGTTGGTACGAGATATATACTAATATCATATAATCACTGATTTCCGGGACAAAAGGCGTCCCGCATGAGGTCACGGCGGTACGGTTCAAAATTGACCCAGAAGCGGGACGTCCCGGAAAATCCGGGACGGTTGGCAAACCTAGCTGTGGCCCATAACCATCTACATCCGTCCTCAATTAAGACTCAAAATGCGGATATGTTGTCAACCCAGAGAACTAAAAAGGAATACCTTATTCCGAATAAAGGGGTTTCCAGTTCTCCACACTCACTGTACGAAACACAACAGCAACTTTAGCTGCCATTTTACGACGGTATTCTGTAAGAGCGTGGTCCTCCACGGGTCGAGACGACCCATTCGTGCTACAAGCATAGCTGCAGCATGGTTTTACTTTTAACGCTAACATACAGGATTCCTAGTTCAGGAGCTAGGGCTTAATCGGAACAAGTGTAACATTTATTTGAGTTCTAATAAAGTATTATTCTAATAATAAAGTGTTATTATAATTTAGCATTGTAATTAAAATAATGAAACTTTTAATAAATAGTAGAACCGACTCCCAAAATTAAAAACATAATTAAACATAACAGCTTCTGAAGTCGGTGCTAAGTCCTACTATATCGAAGAATTACAATCCCTTTCTGTGCCTTTACGGAAGCTATTATGTGAATTTTATTTAATTGTTGAAGTTGGTACCACCTTCTTTTTAAAGCGTTATTATTTTTGTACCCTTTTGGGCGGGCTAAGGAAAATCACAAGTTCTAGGTAACAATTAAAATGTAGTTGAAAATGATACATTAAGATATTTATTCCCTATTATCAAAAAAAAAATTTTCGTATGTACCTATAACCCAGGTATGGAGGTTTTCTTTTGAATTATGGGACCACTTATGTGATCTATACAAATAAATAAAATTGGAGTGACTGTTTGTAATGTCAAAATAACAGCTTTTCACTAAATGCATATGAAAGTATATATGGTACTAAAATAACAAAAACACAATTTTTAAAATGTTCGCCTGTCTGTCTGTCTGTCTGTTTGTTCCGGCTAATCTCCGAAACGGCTAGACCGATTTTCATTGGACTTTCACTGGCAGACAGCTGATGTTATAAGGAGTAATATAGACTACTTTTGGTTTAGAAAAAGAATTAGGGTTCCACGCAAAAAATTAAAAACCTAAATTACACGCGGGCGAAGTCGCGGGGAACAGCTAGTATAAAATAAGAATAATTTAAATTGGTTCAGCCGTTTCCAAGAAATATTTGAACATACATAAATAAATAAAAACTCGAATGCGTAAAAAAATTTATTGGAAAGTGAAAAATTTTAATACCTATGTCACATCCACAACTAAGACAAATTTAACGACACCCGTTATGTTAAAATCCTTCAAGCCGCTTAGGCTACAGAGCGTGCCTAAGAAATAGACATAGATATACGCGTCGAATATAATATGCAATGATCATGCAAAAAACTTACTAGTCCTGCTGGTGTGACCTGCTTTTCTTACAATTTTTTGCACTGTACAACTTTTATTCATCAGAGATCAGACAAATTGTCATTTAATGTCACGTAGGTACTTCACACGGTAAAACTTAAAGAGAGAAAAATGTAAGTCATTGTTAACTGAAACACGGAATTTTTAATGAATGTAAATTACTGTTATATTTTAAATGTTACACAAGGGACTTCTGCTGTATTGTGGGGGCGTTTTATACACATAAATTGCACATAAACAGACAACCTGACCCGGAATAATTTTGTAGGCTATACAAATCCGTGCGCCACAGTACAGTAGCCAAATAATTAGCCTCTGCGTTATCGAGCCGTAAATTATATTTATAATACTAGCGACCTACCCCTACTCTGCCTCGATAGGATTTTTCAATGTGGCGTTATGAGGATTTAAGATAATCATGAAAGTACAATAATTTTTCGACTTTTTCAGTAATTCAGATAGACAGACAAACAAAACCCTATCAGCTCAATAAGAGACAGTTATTTCAATATTACAGACAGACACTTTAAATTTATTTAAATATTTAGATTATATTGTTTTGTGATTGATAGACGAGCTAACAGGCCATGATAAGCTAATCAAATATTATATGTAAATGAAATTTATTGCTTTATTTAATTAAACATACATACAAACATAAACTCACACGCCTGTGACCCAGAGCGATTAGTATAAATTAAATTCATTTTAGTACTTTCTTTTTAGCACTTCCTTTTAGCAGTATTCTGACACAAGTATTTCTCCATATATCTACACATACATGCTTGTCGGTTAAGAGTACTTTTAATTTGGCCCATCTTCAATATATCGCCAATTTAGTTGATAAACTTCCCTCTAAGAATCCAGCACTCTGCTGTTTATTCCTGCAGCATATTCTATTAAAAAAAGCATAAATTTGATTTGTCACCCTTTTCACATTTATTCTTTGTACGTGTCCTAAACAACGAAGTATTTCTTGCTTAATCCTGGTCACAACATCTTTTTGCAAACCACAATTTTCCCATATTCACACAATTTCTCACCTTATGCTTCAGAGGTTGCCCCATCCATAGTAATATACATAGTAGTACGTATGAAATAACGAAATTAATTTGTAACCATGTTCTAACAAAACCTATCGACATAACAAATATCCGTAATTAGATGTCTACAAGGGATAAAATTAAAAATTTTGTACAACTGACTTCAATATAAATAAAATAGGAACATCATTAATGTAGTCGAAGTCAATTAAATATGCATTATTAAGAATGACTCAAAAACTACTACTACTGGTCAGACCTTGATCAAATTTATATGGGACCACGTGAGATGCACCAGCTTACAAATAAAAAAATGATCATCAAAATCGATTCACCTAGAAAAAAGTTCTGAGGTAACAACACACATAAAAATACAGTCGAAATGAGTGCCTCCTCCTTTTTTAAAAGTCGGTTAGAAACAAGTGTTATTTAATCCGATTATAAAAATGTAAATTAAAATTCCAAAGAACGTAAGTATAAGGGAAGAAAAGATAAGCTGATATGAAGGAAAATTTTAAGAAAATTTTTAAACTCTTTTTATGAAAGGTCTTATTGAAAGATTTAAGCACTCTTCGCCGATAATGATGTTCACTTTCTTTTTTGAACAAGTCGAAGAGATTACTGTGTTATTGAAATTAATACATAAAACATTACAATATTATTGATATCTTTGGTTCTGTGACATAACGAAATATATGATTCACTTCGGTGTCAGCTTTCTGTCTGCTACAGAACCTTTTCTCCGAAAATATTTCACTTAGATAACCTGAACACAGATTGTGAACTCTAAAATTAAAATATTCAAGTTATGGTGTATATTATTGTCATCATCAACATCAATGTTATAGCTAATTACAAGTCCAGAGCTGTTATAGGCACCCTCCATATTCTATCACAAGTTTATTTGTTTATTTATTTAAACTTTATTGAACCTTACACATTAAGCAAAGGAACATAAGGCGAACTTAATGCTAAAAGCATTCTCTGCCAGTCAACCTAAAGGCAGTGATATAACTACGAAGGCGGTTACAAAGAAATATACATACACACATACATATACATATTATACATACATATATACACATACATACATACATATATACACATATGCATATACACAAGTATATAGATTTATATATTATAGGAAAATATAATATAATACAAGATACATAAAG